CTCTTTTTGAGCCATTTATCCCCTGTCCCAGCAGATTTATCTAAAACCAGTGATTTGTGAACACATGTCCCAGGTGTCCCTATTTTTGACCAATTTGACACCAACAGTAAAGAGAAGCATAAATTGTCATTTGTTTAGGTAAAATACAGAAAAGTTGCTTAAAAATGACCAAAACACAAAGAAAATGTGACTATACTTACTCACATTACTGCAGAGTGCAGAACAATTTTTTCATAATTAAGTACTTGTGTCACAATTTTATTATTACGAACCAACCCAAATCAGGGATCTCCGTTTTTTATTTTGGAAATCTGGTCACCCTGCCCTAAGTACTGTAATGATATTTGGAAATAAAATGCAAGGTTTGTGAATCTAACCTCAGGTTGGACTTTTGAAAACTATTACTGTATTCATTGGTCCAGTCCACAATGAGAGGAATGTTAAGTTGTACCTTTACTGGCCCCTGGTGGTCGGACCTGTTATCTTTTGAGCGTGCGTTCACTCTTGCACATTTACCACATCTGAATTGACCCTACCCTAAAACCAAAACTGAAACTAAGCCTAGACTAAACCCTCACTAAACCTGAACTAAACCAGGACCAAATCAGGACTACAAAATGACCAAATCAAGTATATCAGGTCTAAATGGGGCTCAAACCACGGCCAAACCAATGAACACACCTTCACAGCAACTTTCTATAAACCCACATTGCAATTTGGGATGTATTTTTGCTATTCAGTGTGAGATACAATTTTAATATAGCATGAATTGAATATACAGGAGACAGAGGAAAAGCATGACGTAGCAGTATCTTCTTGTGTAACATCTGCAAGAGTCTGTGAACTTTCTAACAATAACCCTTTAAACGTCTCAAAGCATAAACAACCTCACCAGTGTCCCTTATAACCCAGCCGGCAGCACCCAGGGGTCCAATAAGCAGCCATCTGCAGACCCCCTCTGCCTCCACTCCAGCAGTCAGAGGAAGGCTGTGGAGAGAGACGAGAGCAGAGGAGGTGGTTCAAGGGCGTGAGGACTCCATCAAGAACCAGCCCAGGGAATAGTCCCATCACCACATGTACTTTAGCCTCACCAGCACTGTACAGTGTTAACTCTGTGCAAAGGACTGGATGACTGAGTTATTGTAATACGAGCATGAAAAACTTATTTGGTCAAAGGGACAGCATGTAATATTTTCATTTCAAATTCCATAAACATGACTTAGCACAGATTTATTCTTAATTACAAAAAAACATTGGATATGATGGCCAAGTTGTTTATGTTATAATTTGGGGAAATTTCTGGAGGTTCTGAGCCTTCACATGAGGTATGGCCTGTCCATATCATAAGAATAACTTTATGTGTCCTGTCTTTTATTTATCCATCAAAGAAAAAAAAAAAAGAATCTAAGGGATATCATAGGCCTTACTTTTAAAAGCTATTTTACTGGACGTGAACCACATAAAAGCAACTATCAGTGACACTATTCTTGTCCAATCAGACTCATTGTTGCAAAAGAATCCCATAGAAACAACTGCCTTTCACTATCCCTACAGTTGTTTGTCTGTCATGGCTCTATAGTGAGTGAGAGAAGGGAATCAGTGGGCAGAGACAAAAAACATTTCTTCACTCATGGTTCTAAATCAGGTACAGGGTTGAACAATTAAATAAAGAATTATTAATCATGCAAATGGTTTCTGTATTTTATTTGTGGGCAATAACACTTAAACCAGTATCTTTTTCCATGATTGCTTATAAGACTAAAATATCCATCAGAATATATACAAGTCATGTTATGAAGCCGTTTATTATATTTACAGCCAACTCTTTGAAAGACATTTCAATAAAACATGACAAATACTGTGCTTGCTGTAGGTGAGGAACAGATTTTAAGTTGAACTGAATCTGAAAATATCTTGGGTGAGTGTAAGGTCCTAAAAATAATGTAGATTGAACTTTTACATTTAGTTTTAGACTCTGCACATTTAAAAATTACAGTACAAATCCATAACCTTGCTCTAGTGTCACCTTAACCACACGCTGTCTTCTTCCATCTCCAGTATTGACCTGTTCACCAGTCTAAGTGTGGCGGCCCCAGAGGTCTTGCCCGTAGCCCTCCACGCCCCTCTCCCCCCTCCTGGTGTGGGTGGTGGTGAGTGGGGTCCAGGGCACTGGGGCTGTCCTCTGCTGTTCCTGTAGCCGTGTGTGCTCATCCATCCTGGGCTGCCAACCCACAGATCGATAGCTCTGCTCTCTTAATCAGGTCTCTGGTGACTGTGGGCGGACCGCTACGTGTGTGCGTGCGTTTGTGTGGACAGGAGCTGTTAGAGGCTGAAGGTTGCACTTTGTTTTTTATTTGTTATCATTTCTTTACATTTCCAGACAACTTTTACCATTGATTTTCAAATGCTTGATCTCATTGAAAATGGAGGATGCAGTGTGTTTTAGTCAGTATCCATGGGTTTCAGCTTCCTTTTATACACAATATTTTGAGCACTTTTTCCCATTCAGTTGATATATTTAGTATTAAATTACAATAGCTACAGTCTGTTCTGACATCCTTATATAGACTTGTGTTATTAGCTAAAATAATTACTAGAACAAAATTGAGAATTAGACATTTCCTTCATCCACTCATACTTCTGAAAGTTAGCATTTATGGTACATGTCAATACTGTATTTGGTGGTGAAAAAAGAAAGAAAGAAAAAAAAAACATATATGAAATCACATTAAAGATTTATTTGCACACATTAAAAGTAGATAATACATTTTCTGGAGTATTCACTTCACCGTACTTAAAACAAGGCAAGTCACAAGCGCTGATCAAGTATGCCAAACACGGAGTCAGTGCAATATGTGTTAATTTATCTTGAATAGAGTGAAAACAATACAGCCATCCCCGCACTCCTACTACTCTACACTTTTGTTGTTCTCTCTCTCTCTGTTGGCAGCAGGCCAGAGCTCATTGAAGAGAAGTCTACGGTGAAGTTGTTCCTGGTGTAATCTGTGAGACTTTCAGAGCAGGAGGAGAGATGGAGGAGGTGAAGGATGAGGTGGAGGAGAAGTGGTAGTGGAGGAGAGGTAGAGGAGGGGGAGGAGGAGAAGTGGAAGAGGAGGATGGAGATGAGGAGGTGAGGCAGCAGAGATAGAGGGGAGGTGGAAGGGGGAAATTAGAGGAGGAGATGTGGAAGAGGAGAGATAGTGGAGGGAGATGGAGGAAGATAGATGAAGGAGGTGGAAGAGAAATGAAGGAGGACAAGTGGAGGAGCATAGATGAAGGGGGTGGAGAAGTAGAGATGGAGGACATATGGAGGAGGAGGCGGAGGAGTAGAGGAGGAGGAAGCACATAAGAGGAAGTAGAGGTGGAGGAAGAAAGGTTGAAGAGGAGAGATGGAGGAGGAGAGGTGGAAGAGAAGTGGAAGAGGAGAAGTGGAGGGGGTGAAGAAGAGATGGAGACAGGTGGAGGAGGATGGATGAAGGGGGGGGGGGATATAAAAGAGGAGTAGTAGGAGGGGAGGAGAGCTGGGGGAGCACATAAGGAAAAGTAGAGGTAGAAGAAGAGAGGTGGAGGAGGCGAGGTGGAATAGGAGAGCAGGAAGAGGAGAGCAGGAGGAGGAAAGATGGAGGTGAAGGGAGTGTGGAGGAGGAGAGGTGGAATAGGAAAGCAGGAGGAGGAGAGCAGGAGGAGAGGTGAAGGTGAGGGGAGCGTGGAGAAGGAAAAGTGGAATAGGAGATCAGGAGGAGGAGAGATGGAGGAGGAAACGTGGAGATGTGGAGATGAGGGGAGCGTGGAGTGGGGTTAGTCATATGGAGTGTGGGGCCAGCTGTGGATTTGTGCGTCGCTTCAGGCTCTTCACACCTGTGTACATCTCGCCTCAGAAAAGTCTCTCAATTATACACTTTAGTGCATGGAGCTAAATTTACAATCAACTTATTTCAGTCTCTTACATAAAATGTTGTTATGTAATAATTACTCAAAACAGAATCTGTAACTGTCTCAACATGATGGATTGGCACAGTAACCAAAAGGTTGATGGTTCAATGTTAATATAACACTGTAATACACATAGTGTCACCGTGTTCTTGGTAGCCTTCTTTGCCAACGTTAGTTACTTAAAGAGACAGTCCAAAATTTTCGACATAGGACCTCATTTCCTAGTTAGCCAAAGTGTTGGAGACGTGTGGAGACAAAAAATTCCATCCAGTCCTTGTATTTGCAGAGGTCACTGGTACTAGGCTAGTGCAGGTTAATGGCCATAGTTAGCCTGCCACTAAAAACTTCGTCTTACCCACTCCACAAAGCACCCGAAGAAAATCTATTATCACACCAGACTGTCAATGTGAATGTCTGTGTCAATAGAATAATTTTAGAAGTAAAACCGACCTTGCATTTGAAGGATTTATGTCTGAGCAACAGCAGTGAGTTGTACTTCCTGATAGAAAGCTTGGCAGCGGTGGACTGATATCACCTAGCACCTATCTTACAAGCAAAGTAAAGTTCCGCTGCTGCTGAGAAAATAGTCCCTCAACATGGTAAATGGTAAACATTTTTCTATAGCGCTTTTCCACCTTCAAGGCACTCAAAGCGCTTTACAACAAGGAACCACCCATTCACACACCAGTGTACGCAGACACTGTGGGCAAGGTGGGTTAAGTGTCTTGCCCAAGAACACAACAGCAGCATTCATCTGTGGGAGCTGGAATCACACCAGCCAACCTGTGGGTCTGACCGCTCAATCTGTGATGTTTTATGTCGAGAGCTGGATTCAAACCACCAACCTTCAGATCAGTGGGCGAATGCTCTACCAACTGAGCTACTGCCGCCCATGTGACGATTCATGCGATGCAAGGTTAGTTTTATTTCAAACATTATTCTATCAACATGGACATTCACATCGACACTCTGGCATAATAAGAGATTTACTTCAGGTGCTTTGTGAAGTGGGTAAGATGGTTTTTAGTGGCAGACTAACTATGCTCATTGACATGCACTAGCCCAGCACCAGCGACCTCTGCAAATACAAGGACTGGATGGAATATTTAAAAAAGTTTCTCCACACGTCTCCAACACTCTGGCTAACTAGGAAATGAGGTCCTATGTCCAAAATTCCAGACTGTCCCTTTAACTTTCACAAATAATCACATTTAATAGGAATGGCAGGTTCATTCATTAAAAAAACTACACTTTACAAGCATGATAGACTTGGTAAAATTACAGCATGTTAAGATGTGCCAGTCTGTTAACAGAGCTACAGAATATATGCCCTGGTGATAATATAATATTACCAACAATTTAATCAAATAATAAAGCCTGGATCATAAAACACTGGATCACTAATTGTTTCTCTATATAATAAAATCAATAAGGCACTTGTTCAACTGACACTGTCCAACACATAGTTTATACTAGAGTGACTAAAATGTTACTCCTGGGTGTATTGCTAACCGTATATACTGTGGTTTCCATTGAACACAGTGGTCAGGGGAAGAAGTGTCTGAGCAGCTCCTTCTTGTTGACCTTGCCCATTTGGTTCCGGGGCATCTGGTCCACCAGCAGCAGGCCTGTGGGGATGGTGTAGGGCGCCATGTGCTCCCTGAAAAACAACCCCAGTCCCATAGAGGTCAGACGAGTGAAAACAGAGGAGCAATAACACATAGACAAACACTGCACAAGGACGCACTGACAATGATGAGTGTGCCGACAAAAACATACACACAAATGCATCGGCACAAACAAAAAAAAAAACACAAAACAATTTCAAAACAAAAGCTCGCCCTGTGGCAGAGCAGTCCAGATAAGCAAACCAATGTCCTTCATACAGTGCGCCGCAGCTCCCCTCCCTAATATCCCATTCGCCTCCCAGACACTTCCCTTTATGAAACAATATAATCTCCACTATGAAGAAAAACAAATAATACAGCGGAAAACAGAAGGCAGGGATAATTAAAAGTCTTTTATTTTTTTCCATTTGGGGAGCTCAGTTGTTACGTCAAGGATTGAGGCCCGGGGCTTTTTTATTATCTTTAACCTAGTTTGTTTGTGTGCGCGTGTGACTTCCCGTGTTAATGCTTTGCTGCGCGCAAGTAGAATGATTCATAGTGGTGCCATCTTACGCCCCTTTGAGCAGATGTGTCTCCAAGTCAATGAATACAACTACACTGCATATATTGTTGTAATGTGCCACCAGTTTTCGTCTATAGCGCTCCCCCTGTGTTCAATCCAATGACGCTGACTGAGACTGACAGTTGAAGCCAGGGCACTGAGGAGTGAGCATCCATCCACTTGTTTATGTCTCATTTTATCTGTCTCTCTCTTCCCTCCATCAAATCGTAGCACTGGAGCGTGTTTGGGCCCTGGCTGACCACTGGCTGTACCCATGGCACCATTGTACTGGGTCACGTCACGCGCACCAATCCGGCACTAAACCACCGCTGGACCAGCAAAGGGCCACAGCAGTCAGACTCAACCACCCCCACACCATATGGAGCCTACAGCACTGGAGCTACACACATGCAATGCAGATAAATGATACTAGTGGGATGTGGAAGGAAAGCAGTGAGGATAAAACAGATGGTAGAGTGAAGGTGAAGGAAAAGGTGAAGATGAGAAAATCTAAATTTCTGCAAAAAGAAACAATAGTGTTATAAAAGTGTGTAAGCAAAGGTTGCGTGTCGCCAGCTGTCCACAATGGAAAAATAAACTACTATGATAGTTATAAAACATGGAAAAGAATATTAAACAATGAGGTTTACAAGAACGAATCATCTCTGTGGTATCGGTTTTATCTATTGATTTTGTCAATACTGTCTGTGTAGTTACAATGACAAAGGAATTTGAATTAGCATTTAACAAATCTGACTCAAGAGATTGAAATTACTTTGAAGAGGTTCCAAATCAGTTTGATATTATTTTTGATGGAGATTCTTTCATATCAAATTTCAGAAATGGAACTTAATTTGTCGTTTTTGTCATTTTTGTACAATTGTTTGTGTTTGCGGTTTCTTACAAAACATGTTGATGGGAGGGTGCCTCAAGTATGTCTGGTGTTTTGAGAATTTGGTCCAAATTATTTTAAGGGACAAACATGTTTCAGGAATCTCAGCAAGAAAAAAAATGTAACAAGGATTACTTCAGGGCCTTGGCGCATGTTTTGCATTACTTTCTGTATATAAATGCGGGACCAGGGAACAGTATAAAACAATAGTGTGTAATGGTGCATGCTTTGTTGTTCTTGAATTTTGTTGGATTTCTGGATGATGAATCTGCTGTTAGTTATTCAGGTCACGGTCTCCACTGGTGGTACAGGTTGGAGTCCACCTGCTTCTGAAAAGCATTTTTAAAGGTGGCAGGTGGCCCAGTATTTAGAGACATCATCCTTACTGGGTGTTCAGACCATATACAACTCTGGCACCTGCTTTCAGGTAATGCTAAGAGGAATAGTCATAATACACAAAACACATGGGCTACCTATGAATAATGGAACGCAGCCGTGTCAAGAAACAAAACTATTTACCGAGCCCAAATCTTCAATTCTGGTAAAGTCAAGTTCTTCCCCTGTCGGAGCTGTACCACTGCAGTGACCTTCTGACCCCAAACTGCATCAGGAGCCCCGATCACAGCCACATCTGGACAAGTGCATCACACAATTAAAGATATGGATAATCTTTACTAGAGAGGTTGGATTTAGTTAGTATATTGCTTTATATATAAAAGTACAATATTCTATGAACTCTTACCTATAATATCTGGATGTGCCAAAAGGTGGCGCTCTACCTCAAGTGCGCTGATCTTGTAGCCTCCACTTTTGATGATGTCTACACTGGTGCGGCCCATGATCCAGTACACGCCATCTTTATAGACTGCGGTGTCACCTGCAAAATTAAGAAATAGCTGAAATTTTAAATAATTTTCCTCAGGGAGTAGTTTAATCAGTATCCATAGTCATTAACATTTATTCCAGAGCTCACACCCAACCCATTTTTGTTTTAGTAGACCATTCAGCAATACATGAAAAACTACAAAAGCACTCAGAGAGCGCAGACCTCCGCCAAGGACTACCCCCATTTTTTATATAAATTGCGATAAAATCAGTCTTCTGGATCAGATCCGGATCAGCCTTTGGAATATGAAAGAGGATCCCATTGTCCATCCCTGAGTCAAATTTCATGGGGTTTGGTCAATAATTAACCGAGATATTGAGAAACAAAATTTTTGGCCTCATTTACCACAATGTTAACTAAAATTTCAAAGTGATCCAGAATCCAGGATTTCTTCCGGATCACCCCCAAAATGAAATCAGTTCTTCCTTTTCACATTTCCAACACATCCTGAAAATTTCATCAAAATCGGTCCATAACTTTTTGAGTTATGTTGCTAACAGACAAACAAACAAACAAACAGACAAACGCTGGCAAAAACATAACCTCCTTGGCGGAGGTAATAAAATCTTGTCTGGCTGAGTTGATATGTAGGCTTGGTACTTTTTTAGCAGTGTAAAAAAGAAAAGATTTTGCAGGAAGTAATAATCAATTTCAGATGATACACTATTTTTATCCAAATCTATTAATCTACAGTATGAGAGTCTTGGTCTAGACTGTAACTATGAACAGTAACTAATGCTTTGCTCCTCAGGCGTCTCCTCACATGCACTGGAGCAGTGGATGGATGATGGCTTAAGATCCCCAGCCCCCTATGCTTACTCCAGAGAGGGGCGGACAGGTGCGGGACGGGTGGGCGGGTGGAGGTAGAGGGGTAAAGAAGGGGGGTGGGGGTGTTATAGCAGTGGGACATGGGGCTCAGCTGGGCCGGGGTGCGATGAGCTCAGGAAATGGGTCACTATGGATGAGTGGAGAGAGACTGAGGAGACAGTGAAAATGGACAGAGAAGGGAGGAAGGTGTCTTTTAGGATTATTACAGGTGCTGCGTTCACATCTGCGGCCAAACCAGGAAAAGAAAAAACAAATTAAAAGTGAAACGTGTGAGATGAGGTCAAAGGTCAGGGACAAGCATGTAAGGACAGAGGTGAAACGCCGCTAGGGGAAGAGTCTTGTAGCTATTTAATGTTCTGTTAATTATTTCTATTCTAGTGTAACATTCTGCTTTGATCTGTAGACTGCAGACAGTGAGTTGAGAAATGAATGTTTTGTTACTAAATTAAGACATACTCAAAGGGAAAGAAGAAGAAAGCAGGCAGAAATGTTTGTAAAAGCTTTTCTGAATATAATAAATATATTTTGTACAGGTCTTCAGAGACATTAACAGGTGATTGTGTTGACAGCATGCCAGTCAAATGCTGAACTAAAATTGGTACAAACCTAATTCATGCCTTTTTATTACACACCACTCTATGAATGCATTTCCCAAGTGTCCCTAGAATAAAGACTAAACTGAACAAGAAAAAAGGACAAAGAATGACTGAGAAGAAGTGTCACCAAAATACCAAATCAATAAAATAAACAATAGTGCTTGTTCAGCCCAATGCGGTGACATAGAGGAGAGTCACATTCAGATGGTGGCCTCTTTAACTGCCATCTTCTCTCTATCTTCTCCTCCATCATTTAATCTCATTTATTCCCTCCTCTGCCTCCTCCATCCATCTCCTCTGCGCTTTTCAGACTCCAACACAAAACCTCTTTTTTCTCATCCTTGCCCTCCATATTTTCTCTCTAAGTCGTTCGTTCAGCGTCCATGTAGCATCGCTCACCACATCTCCACTTCCTCTGCTCCACCTTTCTTCCTGTCTGCTTTAGCCTCTGCCTGTATGCCTCAGCATCAATACAGAGCCCATCTGTTCCCATACATCACGCACTTCATTTCAGTTTATTAGCTGGGATAAATCATAAATATTTCATTATACATCACGGGCGGCTGTCGCCTGCACACCCACAATTTATCACTGCTGCCCTCTCTGCCGGCTTGCCACGCCGGCTATAAGCTTTCCAGTCTATTAAACAAGATTGATACAGTGTGTAAATTTAGATATTGGGAATTTCTTCACAGACCACTGCTCCGCACTGATAGAGCAGGGTAATGGGGAGAGGAGGGGGGGTGAGGGGAGCAGAGTGAAGGATAGAGCTTGGTTTGGTGTTAACACCACTAATGCTGCTTTCACAGAGAGGCCAGACAGCAAACAGATGTCATTTAGAGAAACAGAGAAATGCTGCTGCAAACGAAAACAAATGGCATTTACAAACTGATATTAGGAATACAATTCAGATGTGCAAAAGAGAAAAACACAAGAAAACTATCTACATGCGGTATTCCTCATAAAGAGAAAGAGTGGCACAAAATATAGTATAGCTACTGTGACCTCCACTGCACAGCTTGTGTTTTCTTTGACAAAAACAATTTAATTAAAACTTTGAAAAGGGTGTTTTTGATCACCATCACCAGCACAACTAAACATGTTTTTGACTTATGTTTAAGTGCAGAGAAAGAAAGCCGCATTAATGAGGCCTGACAAAAGCATTCTTGAGCGGAGTTTGAAGTGTGAGACTCTTTGACCTTGGCTGTTTGAGAGAGCGAAATAACGAGGACTACAACAACATGTTTGGAGAGAAGTACAAGTGGGAATTTGATGGAGAACACAGGCTGATAAAAGGGAAGAGGGGCGAGATAGTTAATATGAACCATGTCAGAAAAGCACACACACAACACACAAAAGCACACAAGAACACACAAACACGACTCCAGGCATCAGAGACTCACTGCCATTATGTGTTATGGCGTCGGAGGCAGATATGGACGAATGGCTTTCTTAATTAAAACGATAAGAAGCCTAATTGCACTGGGCTTTCATCTCATTCCGAGGCATTAAAGAAAGTGAAGGCGCTCAGTGTGAAGAGGAAAAAAAATGAAATAAAACAGTTCGAGACTTTAACCGAAGGATGGAGGACAGCGAAGTTTTATCATGTCTTTCAGAAAACAAGCAAATGGCCCTGAAGAAACTTTTACCATCAGCGAACTAAAAGAAATCCAGATAAGACAGCTTTTACAGAGATTTTAAAGTTTGTTAAAGCAGAACATTGCGTAAGTGAGTTTTTCTAAACCGTTTGTCATAATGATTTAAAACAAGCCTCAATAGTCACACGCCTGTTGATGTGTGAAATGTACACTCCAACAGTGGATCTTCGGTGCTGCTGTCAAATGCGTCTTAATCATTCTTATTGTTATTTATGACAGCTTCCAGCACACTGACCAGCCATATGTGAAGGGCGCTCAGTAATCCAAAGAACTGACGTCTTAACTCATCATATAATTTAATCTGTAAATTAGTTATTTTATGAAAACAGAAAGAAAACCACATTTGTCTCGTTAGAGACATTTTACATATTATCTTTTTTTCTGGTACTTAGCATTAAACTATAACATAAGTAGAAAACCATTTTACATTTGTTCATTGTAAATTGCAACGTTGATCTAAATGGGCTTAGTAATAGAAACAGGACCATTAACTTCTTGTTCAAAAATGGCAGAAATGTAAGACCTCGCTTTTTCACTGTGAAATTCAATAGTAGCAAGCAACAGATTTTATGTTTTAAATTTTTTTTTAAGAAGTCTAAGTAATATTTTTGCTTTCTCCATGTATGACCCAAAATAAAATTTTTGTACTCTCAAGTTAGTACAAAGCAGAGGGGAGATAGGGGTTGTGTGTGTACAGCACTTTGGCCAGCTGTAAGGTGCTTTATAAATAAAGTTGGTCTGGTATGGTATAGTATGGTAACCAGACATTTTCTGAGCTGTCAAGCCTCAAAGTCAGTACCGTACATTATTACTCAAACATGAATGAGTCTATCAAAACAGAACAGTTCACTTGCAACCCAGTGGCCAAGCAGCTTGTATGGAAATTCCAAACCCCGGTAAAGATTGCACAGTGTTATGCAGTAGTATTATGGCAGTAATTTCAAATAACTGCATCCTGAAAGGTCTATTATTTTTTGTAAAAAAATGTGAGAAGCCTATGTGAAAAGAATATGTACTTGTTAATACATCTTTATACCAATTTCTTGGAAAAAGGCATTCAGAGACCACAGTAAATGTATAACTTTCTCCTATACAAATGCACAATGGAAAACTGTACTCATAACCATGCCACAGCTATGTAACTTGACCTTACATTTCCATTTGTTCACATCTTTTCTTATCAATGACCTGCCTCTGTGTTGGACCTTGCATCTGTTATCCAAGCCACACTGTAAAGACTTCTCACACAACCATCTTAAATCTTACAAGGACACCCATTTCTTTGTCCGAATACAAAGTGCAAAAATGGAATGTTCGCCACTGGAGGTAACAACAAAAGGGCAAAGTGTGACATGTGACAAAGGCCAGAGCCAACTTCACAAAAACAGCTCTCCGGCCGATGGCGCTGCTGCCAGATGTGTCAGACAACTCCAAAAACGCACAAAAAATGTGGTTGGAGGTGACAGTAACCATCCATTAGTCTGTCAGAGCTGTGTGCGTTGTGGAGGTGAGGGAGAGAAACATGGTGGATGCATTTGTAAGTGAATGTGACCTGGATGGGAGCACACTGCACTTGTTTTTGTACACAGCTCAGCCCTCGGGATGTCTGTGGTATTCAGCCTCCTGCAAACAGCAAAGTGATGAATGGGGAAATGATAGCAGCAGAATACAGTCACACTGAGAGACCAGCGCTGTGTGAATGAGATTGTGGCATTATGGATTATTCATTATTATGCTAGCAGAAAGATTAGCATAACAAACAAAAGAAAGATTAGAGAAAATATTGTTTAAAATAGTCCTCATGTCTACAGGCTACATCGTACCGCAAAGCTATCAAACTTTCTAAAAAATAGAAAAACTGGATCAATTCACCACAGAATTGGTCCACATTTTCAGATCGCAAATTAGT